TCAATCTAACCACAGAACTCACCTTGCAATGACTTGAATCGCTTAAAATGGTCGAGATTAAACAGGATTCGAACAGGACAACGATGCTGTGGACAGCTATTCCATCGCTGGAAGATGAAGTCCAACCCGCAGTGGGACTGCGGTTATGATTATCAGACTATGCAGCACATTATTTCCGAATGCCAGCTGCGGAAGTTCGATGGCGGCATAACTGAAGCCCAGAATGCTACTGCGGCGGCCATTCACTGACTTAGAAATCTTCGCATCCACCTATGAAGTTGCTAGTTACTTCCTCCAGCCATGCGACAGAAGAAGAATTAGAATGACTGCCATTCTTCAAGCCGATATATTTCTTTTAATGATTCAGTCAGCCAAGTTGAGCTATCAAGGCTCTACCAAACGTTTGATTATGTTTACAACTGAGTAAGGCAGCTTCAACCCGCAGGGGTTCGGAATTCCAAACCCCTGGCGCTACGTTGACGTGAGTCAAGCTATCTTCTGGCCTCATTAACTGGCTCCTGCTCGATCCCTTTGACTTTACACATGTTTTAATTTCCGACTCTGAACTGGTACCGTAGGTATTGCGTATGTGCAACCTCATAGTCAGCGACGACTGAATGTAAAGAAGCGGAGGCAATTCGACGCGGACCCCGCACGCCGCCTTAGACTTGAAGGGAGCAAATGGGCAAGCTCTTTCTCCCACTCTCTCCCAAAAACGACCGGAAATGTGGGTAAAACAAAGGAGTAAGCGCTCACCTTTCACAAAAAACCAGAAACGGAGCCGAACAAATGAAAGAGCGCTCGTCCTCCGCACGTCGTTTGACAGAGGCGCACTTTGCACCGGAATCCGCAGGTCAACGCGGAATGATCCCAGAGGATGAACAAATATTCCACAGGCGTAAGGAAAGGACCAGTTCACACTGAAACAAAGAGATTATGAAGACTATAATGTCGTATAAGCAGTTGCCATTCGTTTGCAGGCTTGCACGTAAAACCTTGTGATTAGATTCCGGATCCAGTTTCCTAGCAACCCCGAATCGGTTGCAATATGAAATGCTAATATGACATTACGCTTACTGCTTCCTCCGATATTTATCAACTTTAATTTAAAGACACTGCCCTGATCTCTTCGAAACTTTCTTTGAAAAACACCTAATAACTGCAAGCATCTCGCCTGTCATTATTTGCTTCTTTGTAACCTGCCAACTTGTATAGTTCGGGATAAAACGTACTAGAACACAGTAGTAATTAATTTAAAAATTTCGCTAGAAAAAAGCTTTTGTTATACAACATAACGAAGTTTTCGCCTATACAGTTGAACAATAAGGTTTAATGGATCACTTTAAACTGAGGCGTTTTAAATGTATTTTTAAGTGTTTGATTAAGTAATGACGCGCTACATTTAAAGGAAGGTTCATGTTCCAGCTGGTTGAACGCCGTCATTCTGTAGTTCTTTGTTTCGTTGAGTATCCGTGTGCAGTGTATGGCGCCTTTCGAAAGTGATTGTGACATCGTTTCTTTACTCCAAAGTAAAAAATAGTTATTTTTTGTAATTGTGAACAGTCTGCTATTACGAACTGTGTTGCCTTGAAAACAAAGCCTTAAGATGGCAAAGTCGTAGTTTACTTTTTGGGATGGTTTCTGATATAGCCAGAGTTGATGTATTTTAGCGATATGATGGTACCATCAGCACATCGCTAAAAATTATAATTTCGCAGTTTTTAATAAATACTTGGTCGGTAAGTGCTAGGATTCCCTCGATTGAGCCACAGTACCGTTTCAGATTTTTCATGCGCTCTGTAGTTTCTCCGCTTCTGGTTTTATTGTACCGAGTCAAACTTAATTGCATTTTTCGTTTTGATGACTAGTGGCTAATTTGAATAGCGAGAATTCCAATTACTTGTTCATCTTTTGATGATTTTCCGTCAGCTATGAGATGGGTCAAGGCGAAAGTGCGCGCAACCGACATGATCTTGCACGCTTTGACATTATCACACCAAAACACCATTTGTCTGTTATTCGAAAGTTAGGGACGTGATAACTGTTTTTCGGCTGGTTGCACTGAAGCACCGTAGAGCGAGTTCCTTGCTCAGTGAAATAATGAGCAGTCAAAAAGTGAAAATTTTTGCGGTTCTTGGAGTTAGAACCCGGCAGCTCTAAAGTAACTACTAACCTATTGCTCCAGTATCCCGCACTTATCTCTAGTTTTATCTTTAAGTTGTTCAGACAGCCCTATTAGACTTTGAGAGTCAGAGAACTGTCTGTTCACGTTGTTTTACTGTCTGCATAGTTAAGATAATGGTAGCTTAGGCTATTTTAAGTGTTCTTGTAAGAGGAACTGGTTTCATATCTTTCACTGTCCGTCCCCGAAAATAAACATTGTTCGGGTACTGTCAGAGTATTAAGATTTCAGTCGTCATTTTACTCGTTTGCATATTTTGTTCTTCAGGAATCGCTGTAATTTTAAGTGTTTTTTGGGACATATGCTGAGTTGTCCTCTTAGTAGCTTTCAACAGTTTATTCGTTTTTGCAGCGCTGTGTGTTCGACATTTACGTTTCCTTTTTCTCCTCATTCTCGTTAGTAGGAAACACTGACCTATAGTAGTATTCTGAACTATATATCAGGATTAGCATTCAGACGACTAATGTTTTAACCTGTGTTAATGGCTTTACTGTGCCACGCTATTTTAGACTCGTTAATTAAATGAGCAGATGTCAATGGACGACGGCGCTCCGTTAAAAGTCACATCACCGATGAAAAGATCTGCGCCGCAAGATTTTGAAGATGTAAATTTCATGAATTTCGATGGTTTTCGTGCCCTTATCTATCTTTTATTTTTAGTCCGAATACGACAGCGGAACAGTAGGGAGACCGCTAGATGGTCAGATTCTGGTAATCACCCGAAAGTTCTCGAAAATGTTTAAAAGAGACGATGACCAGCCGGGCACATCTTATGCTCGTCCGCTGCTACCTACAACCTGCTACTGCTGGATTTGTAACCGCGAAGTGAATGAATCCGACGACGATGACTCTAGCGAGTAATGTCGTGATACTCATTTGTACCGCATTTGAAGCTTGTTTATTTTATAGTTATGTAAAATAATGCGACATTTCGGTTAATTTCATTACAAGGTTTAAAGGCGTTAAACGTACGAAATGCCCTCTGTAGCTACATGATAGCAGCTGCAGACTGACAATAATTTAACCCGTACACCTAACGTAATTGAAGCGTTCTGGAGAACTTAAAGTGCATATCAAATCTGCCGCGTGACCGTCCAGAACAAATGTTATAGTAAATATGAAAGTTTAGTTAACTGTTATTCATAATTGTGAAGCGGCTTGGATCTAGTACTAATTCTGAAAGTATGGTTTAAACAGTTTAAATAAACTGTATTGCCTTCGTTTATTGGTTGCTGACAAAGCATAATGAAATTGTAATGCAAATCTTGACTGATTGCTTCATTTCCACATTGCCCGGGTTCTGTATGTGATTAGCTCTTTCTCTTATTTCTTTATCTTTAGTTTCTGCACTGCGATGTATTGTGCTGTGTACCGTAGACTAGAGTATGACAGGCTCATTGCACTTCCTCTGAACGAACTCGTTATCTTTCGCATGTAAAGCCGATGAAAATCCTCCATTGCTATTTTCCTGGCCTACTCAAAAATTGTGAGGAAGAAACGCATTGTACTGATTACGATGACTTAAATGGAAACAAATATTTATTTCAATATACTCCGTTATTGCGTTTTTTTCGGTTTCGAAAAGTCAGAGTGCTTGACCTTATTAAGTTCATGCAAAAGTTTCAAGTCTGAATTTCGGTCGTTTTGCCTGGTTAACCCAATTTACCTCTTGTGCTTCTGATATTGTGCTGGAGTGCAACCACTTATTTTTACTGATATAGCGTTGAATTTCTGCTCCATTATTAGGCGTTTACGAAATTGTGATGACTTGTTTCGCCTGTATCAAGAAAATCCAATCAAGCGGGGAGAATATAAGTTTCTACAGAACGATCAGATCTGTCTGAATGACATTATTTTTAAAATAGTGTTTTTTGGCATTCATTACGTGCATTTTTGCACTACAGAGCACTCCACACAATAACTGTGTTAATTTCGTATGCCTGTCAAGTCGCAAGTGGTTATTAAAGAGGAGTTCAGGAAATAGTTGACCATCAGATCATGGCACGTTTTATACACTCATTACGTTTTAACTGTTTTCTACACAGTTGAAAATACTGTATGCTAGACTTTTTAGTTCATCCGAAAACAAGTCTTTCAGTGACGGTTCATCTGTGGGTCTTCCAGAGTGCACTCATTTACCACTTACCGATTCCGCCGCAGTGGTGTGGCAGGTAAATATTTATTCACGTTTTAATTTGATTTTTAAGATACGTCCGGTGTCGATATACGACTGTGATCGCAGAGATTTCGATTATCAGGACCTCGCTTCGGACTATACAATAGAATTTCTTTCTTATTTAATTGACCGCGAAGTAATAGATGATTAACTGGAAGCATTTTATTTTTAACTCTGTGTTATTTAGGCAATATTCAAGGTTTCGAATTATACTTTGACTCTTAATAAAGACATCACGCCAGTATTACGCTCCCAGTTGATTGACTGGATAGTGGGAGTTCATGGCCGATTCCAGCTGTGCAGTGAAGTGTTGTTCCAATCCGTGAAAATGATGGATCTTTTTTTGAGCAGGTATCCATTTCTTTCGCCAGTCAGGCAATTTTTTAAACTGGATTTCAAAAGTGACA